CTGCTGCTTCTACTACCACTGCTTGCACTACTAATGTTACTGCGCTAGCCTGTGCTCTACTGCCCACGTACTCTACTGACCACCACAGTCACTTCAACGATCGCTACTACTGCCCTTTTGCCACTGCTACTGACTGCCAGTGCCTGTCATGGCCACTATCACGGTAGTCGCAGCGGCTAAGGGTGGACAACAGCAGCCACTGCCTCTCCCAGACACGCTATCCCCGCAGCAGCTCCGCGAGTGGGTTACTCAGCGAGCCCGTCCAAGTGGTGGAGGCTTTGGTTTTCTGTGTACTGCATAGCGGCGGCAGCAGAGTCAGCAGGAGACAATCTCCCCACAGCTGCTTAGTGAGTTGGTTTCTCAACGATGTGTCCCTGGTTGTGTAGAGGCTGCTGCTCTAGCTGCTAGTGAGTCTGCTGCCGCACTAGGTGCTAATGAGTCTGTTGCAGCTCTAGGTGCTCGTGAGTCTGCCGACGCTCTAGGTGCTAGTGCGTCTACTGCCATAGCTGAGGCCTTGCACACTTTCACACTTGACTAAGGCGCGTCACGTTGCTTCTTTCATGATTGCACCACAGTCACACCGCTCACGGTACCTATCCCAGTCTCACTAGCTGACCCCACTTGGGGCCCAGTAGTTGTGCGAGTCTCCATTGTCCTCGCGTGTCCGGCAGTCCCCTCCGGGACTCTCTCAGGTCTCCACATGCCCGCGTTCTTGATGAACTTGTTGAGCAACGCAGTTTTCCAGGATGAATGGGTTGACACCTTCATTCCTGGAGAACAGCATTTGGCGATCTGTAAGTGCTCAGGGACCGGCCGTCACCTAGCTACGTTCACTTGTCAGCCTGGGTCCAGCCTGTACACACTGACCACTACGTCTGCGCAGGTGGTTGAGTCAAGTCAGGTGGCTGCATCGAGTCAGGTGTCTGCGTCTGGTCAGCTTGCAGCGTCTTGCTCGTGTCGGGTACTCTCTCACCAGACTCTCCTCTGTCACCACTGCCTAGGTCACCCCGCGTTGCCGCGACTCCACAGCATGCACTCCCGTCTCTTTGTCTCTGGCCTTTCCAGGTCCCTGCCCTCCCTCCCGCGCTCACCTGCACTGCCGTGCCTTCCCTGCGTCGAGGGGCGGCAGCGCGCCACTCCTCACTCCTCCGAGTTTCCTCCGACCACTACTCTTCTGCATACTCTCCACATGGACGTTTGGGGCCCGGCCCCCGTCGGTGGAACGGACCAGGATCACTACTTCCTGCTGGTTGTTGATTTCCACACACGCTATAACACTGTCTTCTCCTTGCGGCGCAAGGCGGATGTCCGTGGTGTTTTGCTCCCCTGGATCCGTGCTACTCGTCGCCAGTTGCTCAAGCGGTTTCGTCGGAACTTGCCACTCCTGCGTCTGCACTCTGACAAAGCGGTGAGTTCTCTTCTGGCCTCCTTGAGGGGTTTTGTCGAGACGAGGGCATCCGCCAGACGTTTACGCTTCCGGCCTCTCCTCAGCAGAATGGGATTGCTGAGCGTCGCATTGGCTTGATCATGGATGTTGCTCGTACCTCCATGATCCATGCGGCTGCTCCCCATTTTCTGTGGCCGTTTGCGGTCCGATACGCTGCGCATCAGCTCAACCTCTGGCCCCGTGTCTCTGAGCCAGAGACCTCGCCCACACTCCGGTGGACGGGGAAGGTTGGCGATGCGTCGGTGTCTCAGGTCTGGGGCGCGCTCTCCCTTGTTCGCGATGCCAAAGCGAGCAAGCTCTCCTCTTGCACTCCCCGCTGCGTCTTCCTTGGCTTCCCCACCGACGCCCCATCATGGCAGTTCTACCACCCGCGCGAGCGTCCAGTCTTTTCCTCCCATGACGTCACCTTTGACGAGTCTGTCTACTTCTACAGGCTACACCCGCACGAGTCCCACCCGGTCCCCCTAGCACCTCTCTTCCTGGTACCAGTCCCCCCACCCACCATAGACCCGCTCCCCCCACAAGGTCCTGCTCTCTCAGGTGTGTCTCAGGTAGATCCACCCCCCTTGGTTGAGCCTTTGGAGATCTCTTTTGACTCCTCTGACCCAGCTAAGGGGGATTACCCCGCCACTGACGACACGTAGGCCACTCGCCGCTCTCCACGCTTAGAGACCCCCCCTGGTTTTCCGCCTTGGCCGTCTTCGCCGCCTCCGCAGCCTGCTGCTGTGGACTCTGGAGCTGAGACTGCTAGTGCTGAGCCTGGGGGTGCTCAGACATAAGGTGAGGGTTCTGGGGGTGCTACGGCTGGGGGTGCTGACTCTAGGGGTGCTGCGAGTCCTAGTGGCGGTGGAGCTGTGGTTGACCCTGCTAGAGGTCCTGGAGCTGGTCAGCCACCGTAGCCTGATCTTCTTGAGACGCTCTCGTCGCAGGCGATTCATGTGTGGATCGTTCGGAGAGGCAGTCCTAGTGGTGGAGGGTACGGTCCTACTGGTGCTGGAGTTATTATTCCTGGAGGTGCTGCTGGTGCTGAAGATAGGTGCTGGAGGTACTAGAGCTGCTAGTCCTGGAGGTGCTGGAGGTGCTGCTCGTGCTGGAGGTGACGGAGCTTCTAGTCTTGGAGGTGCTACTAGTGCTGGAGGTGCTAGAGCTGCTAGTTTTTGAGGTCCAGCTGGTGCTGGAGGTGCTGGAGCTGCTGGCACTGGAGGTGCTGGTGCTGCTGGTGTTGGAGGTGCTGGAGGTTCTGCCATTGCTGAAGGCGCTGGAGCTGGAGGTACTGGAGCTACCAGCCCTGGAGGTGCTGGAGCTGCCGGAGCTGGTGGTGCTGCTGGTGCTGGAGGTGCTGGAGGTGCTGCTGGGGGTACTGGAGGTACTGGAGGTGCAGGAGGTGCTGGAGCAGCTGGTCCTGGAGGTGCGCGTACTAGAGGTGCTGGAGTTGCCGGAGCAGGTGGTGCTGCTGGTGCTAGAGGTGCTGGAGATGAAACTAGAGCTGTTGGCACTGGAGGTGCTGGAGGTACTGCTGGTGCTAGAGGTGCTGGCGCTGCCGGAGCAAGTGGTGCTGCTGGTTCTGGAGGTGTTATTGGAGTTGCTAATGCTGGAGGTGATCGTGCTACTGGTGCTGGAGGAGCTGGAGCTGCTGGTACAGCCCCGTGCCGACCAGTTTTCTACCCGCAGCCAGAATGTCTCTGCCGCCGCCTGACTTGGTCCTTCTCCAGGTTTAGTCTCCCGTCTTCCACTTGCCTCACTCCACCTCTCCTGTGTCCACCGACAGACCAGTCTCAGCCACAGCTACTGCCTGGCTCCCCGTTGCCTGCTCCTGCTCCTCACACTGAGGTGACTAAGTCCCTGACTGAGCGTTGTGAGCTTGAGACTCGTGCTTCCACACCTGTTCCTGCTCGTCGTGTCGCCCGTCCTTGTCCTCCTGCTGTCCCAGACACTCGTCCTGTATGGCAGTTCGTCCTTCCTCCGTTTCACAGCGTGTTGTCCTACCTGAGCCTCCCGCGTTCTCTCTTCCACACGTTCCTGATCCTGAGTCCGACCTTGCTCGTGCTCCCAGTCCTAGTGTCACTCGTCTCCTCTTCGGGTGACCCTAGACCACTCTTCGGGTGTTGCTATACCTTGCAGCTCGTCGTGACTACAAGCTGCACTCCCTCGATTTCTCGGCAGCTTTCTTGCAGGGCAGCCTTCACGAGGCCATCTGGCTGTGCCGTCCACCTGGCTTCACTAGGTCATTTCCTTAGGGTACCTAGTGGAGCCTACAGCGACCAGTGTACAGCCTCTGACAGGCACCTTGCGAGTGGCACGACACACTGAGGACGACACTTGCGGCTCTTGGGTTTGCTCCTTCGCCTGCTGACCCGTCGATGTTTCTGCGCAACGACACTACCCTGCCGCGGTTCTACATTCTCGTGTACGTCGATGACTTGGATTTTGCTGCTGCTGACATGGAGGCTCTGGTTGTCAGAACTATGCTCTAGGCTGTAATGGGGCACTCCTTATGGGGTATAGCCTAATTAGGTTTTGCTATAAAAACATTGTACTGCTGTGTTTCTAGTCATTCTTCACTGCTGATTCTGACATGGTTTCAAAACGTTTTTTTTAGGGCCCAGCACGATAAAAAAATTGTTTTCCTGCCCTGCCCGAAGCGCGCCTCGCGCCTGCCTCGCTAGCGCCGTCGCGCGCCCTGCCCTACTGCCGCTCGTAGCGGCCCTGCCCTAATGGCCCGTCGCGGCCCTGCCCTTTCGCGGCCTGTCGCGGCCCTGCCCTAGCCGCCCGCAGCGGCCCAGCCCTATCGCCGCCCTTCGCGGCCTGGCCTCGCCGCCCGTCGAGGCCCTGCCTTTCCGCCGCTCGTCGCGGCCCTGCCCTACAGCCGCCCAGTCGCGGCCGTGCCCTCCTGCCGCCCAGTCACGACCCTGCCCTGCAGCCGCACAGTCGCGGGCCCTGCCCTGCAGCTGCCCCGTCGCGGCCCTGCCCTGCAGCCACCTCGTCGCGGCCCTGCCCTGCTGCCGCCCTGTCGCGGCCCTGCCCTACCCGCCAGTCGCGGCCCTCCCTGCACCCGCCCCTGGTAAGCGCCCGCCCTGCCAAGAGCGCCGCTGCGCCTGCGTGCCTACCGCGCCGCGCCGCCTAACCGAGCCGCGCCGCCCTGCCTAGTTGCACCGCCCAGCCGAGCCGCGCCGCCTTGCCTAGCCGCGCCGCTCTGCCCTGCTGCTACTGCTGCCATTGCTAGTCCTTATGTGATTACCTTTGATTTTGAGGGCCATGCGGTCGATTTTGAGGTTTGGGTAGATGACTTGCAGCTCTATCTTCAGTGCGACTCCAGGGACGGAGTCTCGCTGTTCAATCACACGTCCGTGCCTCTGTTGCACCTGCTGCCGACGCTGACAGTACAGTTCGCTCGCCGTGGACTACTCGTGACGCTGTTGCTCGCCTTGCTATTTGTAGTCACCTGCCGTCTGCTGAGCGCGCGCACTTTGGTCAGTATAAGACTGCTAAGTCTCTGTATGATGCTGTTGTCGCACGCTACTCCTCCCCTGCCTCTGCTGCCCTCAGCCGCCTCATGCTACCGTACTTGTTCCCTCACCTAGCCGCGTTTGCCATAGTCTCTGACCTCATCAATCACCTCCACACTAGTGACACCCGCTACTGCGCTGCGCTTCCCTCCGAGTTCTGCGCCAAGAACCTCCCCCCCATGTACATCACCCTCTTCTACCTCGTCACCCGCCTCCGTGACTCTCTTCGCTCAGTCAGGGACCACTTTCTCTCCCTTTGCCCCACTGAGCTCACCGTTGACCTGCTCGAGGAGCGTCTCCTTGCAGCTGAGACTAGCATAGCCGCTTAGGAGCTTCTCGCGGCGACCCTCGCGCCTCTTTCTTTGAGGGATGCTCCCCCGTCCCCCTTTTGCCCTCTGTTGCTTCTGCTGCTGCTGTCGACCTCGTTGGCACCGAGGCAGTCGGGACTGCGTCTGCTCCTAGTGGGAGGCACCGCAGCGGCAAGGGCAAGGGGGGCAAGGGTGGTGGAGGGGACGGCGGGGGCGGCGGTGGCGGCGGTGGAGGAGGTGGACGGGGTGGGAGTGGAGGTGGGGGTGGAGGCGGGATTGGGGGCGTCGGTGGCGGCGGTGGAGGTGGAGGCGGCGGCGGCAGCGGCAGTGGGGGTGGCGGCGGCGGTGGTGCTGGGCGGGGTGGAGCCGTGCAGCGTGGAGGCTTTGGCGGTGGCCAGCGCCAGCAGCAGCCGCGTTCCCGTGAGGCCCCGTCGCCTCAGCAGCTTCGTGAGTGGTACGCTGGGTGTGGGAGGACTGGGGATGCTGGTCCGTGCGCTTACGTTCTCGGCACTGGCGACCAGCGTGGGGAGACGTGCGGCCTGCCGCATGCTACGCAGTGCTGTTTCGGTCGCCTGACTGATGCCTGGCGCGCACATTTTCCTGACGCTACAGAGCTCCCTCGCTGGGCTGATCTGCTTAAGTCTGGTGTATCTATCTTTGATCTTGATTATGATGCTATCCTTGCTGCCATGTATGCTGTGACTATTAGTGCTGAGGGTGACTGTTACCTGTGTGTGCCGCCTGACCCAGGTATAGAGGCTGCTGCTCTAGGTGCTAGTGAGTCTGCTGCTCCAGGTACTGGTAAGCCTGCTGCTCCAGGTGCTGGTGAGTCTGCTCTCTCAGGCACTGCGCCTGCTGAGGCCTTGCACACTTTCACTCTTAACTCCGGTGCCTCCTGCTCCTTCTTTCGCGACTGCACCACACTCACGCCGCTCAGTCTGCCGGTTGCTGTCTCCCTGACGGACCCCTCTGGGGGCCCATTCTTTGCACACTCCTCTACGGTTCTGCCGTGTCCGGCGGTCCCGTCTTCACCTCCCCTCGTTCTCTACGAACTTGGTGAGTGGAGCTGACCTCCAGGACGTCTGGGTTGACCAGTTCACTCCTGGTGGGCAGCGGGTGAACCACTGTACGAGTAGTCGGACAGGCCGCCACCTCGCCACGTTTACCCGTCAGCCTGGGTCGATCCTGTACACCCTGACTACTGCGTCCCCTCCAGTTACTGCGTCTGGTCAGGTAGCAGCGTCTGGTCAGGTGTTTGCTGCCGCGTCCAGGTCTGGTTCAGAGTCTGCCCCCTGCTCGTGTTGTCTCGTGTCACACCAGACTCTCCTCTGGCACCACCGCCTTGGTCACCCCTCCCTGCCTCGTCTTCGAGGTATGGCCTCTCGTGTCCTTGTCACTGGTCTTCCCCGGTCTCTCCCTCCCCTCCCCCCGGGGCCTGCCCCTACCTGCGTTCCTTGCGTCGAGGGTCGGCAGCGCGCCGCCCCTCACTCCTCTGAGTTCCCTCTGACGGAGGCTCTGCTGCTGTCACCGGATCGAATTTCCACTCGAGAATGTTGCACTAAAGGTGAGTACAAAGCGTATTTATACTCAGAAATACATAGAAACAACAGATAATCTGAACCTTCGGGAACGCGCTCTTCTAGAATAGATAATCGCAAGTGCGCATAAGCACGCAAGCACATTGGCACTTCGGATTATGGCGAGATTACGCCTTGTACACCACTGCCGGTGTTGTCGGTGCCGTATAATGTAAATGTCCGTGCCGAAAATACCAAATAAGTGAAATAATCGGAAAGCTCTAGAAAATAGAATAGTAGTCCGATTGGGGTGAAATAAAGTGCAAACGAAAGAGGAAAATAAGGAGAATAAGATGGAGTAAAAATATAGAATTGGGAAATATGTCGAATGTCGGCGTACTCTCACAGTTCCCCCCCTCAAAGCTGGGTGGTAGATGTAACACCCTGCTTGACAAGATAGTCGCGGAGAGAACGACGGGCGTTACTTGTGTCTTCTTTAGAGACCCAGCTGTCCTTAGAAGGATCATAGCCCTTCCAGCGTATGAGAAACTCCAGGGCGCCATTTCGACGATGACGATGTGCAAGCACAGATTCAACCTCGTACTCAGGTTCATCATTCACGAGGACTGGAGGCGGCGGCGGAGGTTGGCGTCCGGTGTACAGCTTATTTGGATCTCGATAGGGTTTAAGAAGCTGCGCGTGGAAGGCGTTATGAATCTTCCAAGTAGGTGGTAGGCGCAAGCGGAATGTGACTGGAGTGACCCGCTCTTCTACGAGGAAAGGTCCGCAGAAGCGAGGTCGTAACTTGGATGGAAGGTGACCGAGGTTGAGGTTGCATGTGTCGAGAAGCACGTGGTCACCAACCGCAGTGGTATGATCACGTCGATAGCGATCGGCCAAGCGTTTCCGTGAAGACTGTATGTCCTGTAGACGCTTGTGTGTCCGATCCCAAAGCTGCTGCATTGTGGTAACAAAGTCGTGCGCGAGTTGGACACTTGCAGGTACGGTCGGCTGTTGTGGAGTTAGTGGATGTCGTCCGTAACAGAGGAAAAATGGGGTCTCTCCTGTTGCGGCATGCTTCGCATTATTGTAGGCGAACTCCAACACCGCCAAGTGCAAGTCCCACTTGTTAATATCGTCCTTGCACGCTGCGCGCAAGAGTTGTTCCACAATTTGGTTCAAGCGCTCTATCTGCCCATCGGTCTGGGGATGATATGCAGATGACATTGCTAGGCGTGTCCCCATGAGCAACATGAGCTCTTTCCAGAACTTGCTAGTAAACTTGGGGTCCCTGTCGGATATGAGGGTTGTTGGGATCCCGTGCTGTAAGATGATGTGTTTGAGGAATAGCTGTGTCGTTTCCTCGGTGCGTGCGGTTGTATGTGTCGGAATGAAGTGTCCCATCTTTGAGAATTTGTCGATGACGACCAGGATGGCGTCATGCCCCGCATTGGTAGGTGGTAAACCGGTGATGAAATCCAAGCTGACCACTTGCCAAGGGTGTTCTGGGACGGGTAGAGGCTGAAGAGTCTTGCTTTCTTCTGCTTACTGCTCTTCATCCGCTGGCATGTGTCGCACGAAGTGATGAACTTCTGCACGTCGTCCGCCATGTGAGGCCAATAGTAGATTTTCGCAATCCCGGCAAGAGTCTTGTTACTCTCGAAGTGTCCAGTATAGAGCACGTCATGGAATTCTTCGAGAAGCAACTGCCGAAGAGGCGGGTAGTTGGGTACCCATATCTTTGTTGATCCTTTGCGTAGTGCGACGTCATGGTTCCACTGCAACAAGGTGCGTTGGTGAGTCCGAACGGCATGACGAGGTACTCGTAGGATCCGTATCGTGTCCGAAACGCCGTCTTATGGATGGAGTTATCCGCCATCCGGATCTGCCAATATCCCGATCTCAAATCAAGTTTTGAGAATATCGTGGCTCTCCGAAGCTGGTCAAGTAGATCGTCGATCTGTGGAATCGGATACTTGTTCTTGATCGTCTGCTTGTTGAGGGCTCGGTAGTCAATGCACATGCGTAAGCTTCCGTCAGGTTTTGGCGCGAAAAGCACTGGTGCACCGTATGGTGATGTTGATGGTCAAATGAGTCCTTTGTCCAGAAGGTACTCGATCTGCTTCTTCATGTGGGCCAACTCGGTAGGGCTGAGTCGATATGGTGCTCAGAAGGTCGGTTTTGAACCAGGTTGTTCGATGATCTCGTGCTGGTGGGTTCGGTATGGCGGCAACTGGTCTGGAAGGTCGTCAGGGAGAACGTCTTCGAACTCTTCTAGAAGTTTCTGAATTGCTAGTGGAAGCTCGAGGGTTTGTCTCTCTCCTTCGTCCTCGTTGGTAACCAGTGCAACAAACCCTGCCATGGTTCGCTTCACGTCCTTCTCGAAGCGTGCGAGAGTCTCCTCTGGAATATCTCCCGTGTTGCTGCAATTCGGAAGTGGAACTTTTCTATCTTGATTGTAGATACTCGCCGTGCGGGTGACCCAGTTGATCTCAGGGTTGAACTTCTTCATAAAGTCTCTTCCAAGGATCAGGTCTAGCCCTTTGATGTTGGTGACGGGTAGGTGTCACAATAATAAGCAGAACGAGGAGCCATAGCTAGGGTTTACCTAGCTAGGCAAGAGAGAATGAGCAAAGGAGGGGTTGCACTAGCAAGTAGTTGAGTACATATAGGAAACCCTAAATTGGGCTATACTCGCTGTAGAGTACCCCACTGCAGGCTAGACAAATACAACATTCTGACACACCCCCATAGCCAGAGTGGGGTGTAATCAGCACAACAAGCACAGCTAGAGGCATTCACATCGGGCAAGTGAGGAGGAGGAGGCTGGACTGTGAGAGGAGAGGAGATGGGAGGCAACGGCTGAAGCTGCAGACACACGGGCAACAGGAGCGGCTGGCACAGTGGCTACCGAGAGCAAGACAGGCTCCGGACTACAGGAGTAACTGGCTCCGCGGCTACGACGAGCGGCAGGAGCAACGGACCCACGGGCGACAAGCACAGCAGGCTCACTGGGCTACCGAGAGCAAGACAGGCTTCGGAGTACTGGCGCTGCAGGCGACACGACGGCAGCCTCCACGCAACCTCCCCCAACTCTCCGACACCCCTCTTTCACACACCCTTTGCTGTACCCCTAGCTCCACTCCCACATCACCCCCCTAGCACCACTCCTTCGTCTCCCACACACCCACCCCCCTCAGCGGCAGCTGCAGCAGCGGGAGACGGAGGAGGAGGAGGAGCAGGGGACCGCGCACACCCGCCACCCCCATACCCGTCACCCCCATACCCTGAGTGTGCGGTAAGCGAGCTCAGGTGTGCGCGAAGCGTGCACAAGCGTGCGGGAAGTGAACTCGGGTGTGCGGTAAGCAAACTCAAGTGTGCGGGGAGGGGAGGCCGCAGGGCGACACGCGGGTCGACGGGGACAGTCGCACGGGTCGCCGGGGGCGGCGCGCGGATCGACGGGGCCGCCGCGAAGGGCGACGGGGAGCCACGCGCAGGTCGACAGGGATGGGCGCGCGGGTCGACGGAACGCGAAACCGCCGCGTGCACCCACGGTGCGCGGTGGGCAGAAAACCGCCGCGCGAAGCAGGAAACCGCCGCGCACCTCGGGGCGCACGGCGGGCAGAAAACCGCCGCACGCCCCGAGCGCACGACGGGATGAAAAACGCCGCGCGCTCCGAGTGCACGGCAGGAAGAAAGGGTCGCGTGCCTGGGGCGCGCGACAGCAGTAGAGCAGCGGAAGCAACGGGTGGGGCCCACCCACAGGATCGACCCAGGAGGGTCGACTTGCTCTGATAGCATGTCACAATAACAAGCAGAACGAGGAGCCATAGCTAGGGTTTACCTAGCTAGGCAAGAGAGAATTAGCAAAGGAGGGGTTGCACTAGCAAGCAGTTGAGTACATATAGGAAACCCTAAATTGGGCTGTACTCGCTATAGAGTACCCCACTCCAGGCTAGACAAATACAACATTCTGACAGTAGGGTCGGTTTCCAACGAAGAGGACCCATCTGCAGGTGTAATGCTGCTTCGCCGTAGACTTGTAATTTGTTTCCGTCAACCATCGTAGCTGTGAAGCTTGAAGGCGTGTACTTCTCATTGATGCCTTTGAGAGTTGCCTTGTCGCATACGGAATGGGATGCTCCGCTGTCCACGAGTGCTTGGACGCGTCGTCCATTGCAGATCACCTCGAGCAGAAGTGGTTGGCGTTGCTCGTTGTACCCGTTGATCGTCTCGTTGATTGGATTGTAGGGCATTTCCCATAGCTCTGTATTTTCTCCAGGGGTGGCAGATGGCCGGTCCTGCCGTTCCCTATTGCCATGATTTTTTTTTGTCGTCGACGACGTGGTTCTCGAGCTCGTAGTATAATTCCTAGATGGGGTAGATGTCGTAGATGTTTCAGATAATGCAGATGCATCTGTAGAGGAGGTTTGAGGTTGTCGCAGCTTCCTGTTGACCTCCAGCTCCCTATTTAGTTGCTTCAGCGCCACCGACTTCTTCCGTGGGGACCGGTTGGTCGACATGGGCTGGTTTTTCAGAGAGAGGACGATGTC